AACATAAGAATTACAGGACAATAGCTTCACTTCTTCCCAAGACACATATTTTCAGAGGTCTAAGTAAAATTAAATGTGTCATTACAAGGAATGCTACCTGGTGAATACATTTGACAGACTATCTTGTTCATCCGAGCAAACTGAAAGCTACAAATTTCTCATCCACTGTTATGCATAGTAATGTTATTAAATCATAATGCTTCACCGTACACTAGATAATTTAAGCAAGCTCCTTCCTGCTGGAGAAAAGCAAATACTTAGGTGACTCACTCAGTGTGTAAATGATGATGGTGCCAAAGTTGCCAAAAGTTTAATTTCTCTGAAAACAACTGAGTTTCCTGAGTTTTGCATTACAAATATAACTTGAGTATTGCTGAAGAATGATACATTTCATAAAACTTTGCATCTTGCCCTCATCAGAACATTTTGCAAGAACATAAATTCACAATTGTTATTTTTTTTCTACGGGGAAGGCAGTGAATGTTTGTCGATGTAGTGCCGATCAAGCAGGCTGCTTTGTCCTGGACGATGGTCAAAGTTCTTGTGTGTCGTTGAAGCTGCACTCATCCAGGCAAATAGGAAGTATTCCATCACACTGCTGACTTGTGCCTTGCAGACAGTGGACAGGCTTTGAGAAACTAGCAGGTAAGTTATTCACTTCAGAATTCCTAGCCTCTGACCTGCTCTTATTACCATAGCATTTATGTGGCTAATTCAGTTCAGTTTTGCGTCAATGATAACCCCTAGGATGTTGACAAGAGCAATTCAGCAATGGCAATACTATTTATTGGCAAGGCAATGGTCAGATTCTCTGTTGATGGAGATGGTCATTACCTGGTACTGGTACAGCATGAATGTTACTTGCCTTTTGCCAGATTAAGCCTGGATATTTTCCAGGTGTTACTGCATTTGGGCATTGATTATATCATTATCTGTGAAGTCATGTATGGTGCTGAACATTGTGCAATCATCATGGAACATCGCCACTTCTGACCTTATGATGGAGGGAAGGTCATTGATGAAGCAGCTGAAAATGGTTGGGCCTAGGACACTACCTTGAGGAACTCCTGCAGAGATGTCCTGGAGCTGAGATGATTGACCTCCAACAACCACAACCATCTTCCTATATGTCAGGTATGACTCCAATCAGCAAGTTCCACCACCACCCCCACTCCCACCACCACCACCCCTCCCCCCAAACCTCAATTCCCATTGAATCCAGTTGTGCACAGGCTCCTTGATGCCACACTCGGTCAAATGTGGCCTTGGTGTCAAAAGCTGTAACTCTTACCTCACCTCTGGAATTCAGCTCTTCTGTCCACATTTGAGCCAAAAGTAATGAGGTCAGAAGCTGAGTGGCCCTGGTGGCGAGTGTCATTGAGCAGTTTATTGTTAAGCAAGTGTTGCTTGACAGTACTGTTGATAACACCTACATCACTTTACTGATGATCGAGACAGGCTGATGGGATAGGAATTGACTGAGATGGATCTTTCCTGCTTTTTATGTACAGGACATACCAGGGCAATTTTCCAAATTGTCAGGTAGATGCCAGTGTTGTAACTGTAATGGAACAGCTTGGCGAAGGGCATGGCAAGTTCTTGAGCACAAGTCTTTAGCAATATTACTTGAATGTTGTTGGGGCCACAACTTCTGCAGTATTGAGTGCTTTAGAATTTTTCTGATATAACACATTAACAAAAGACTGGCCTCTGTCATAATGGGGTCATCTGGAGGAGGCTGAGTAGTATCATCTACTGGCTGTAGATTGTTACTATACTTCAGCCCTTTTTTATTGCACTGATATGTTGGGCTTTCCCATCACTGAGGATGGGAGTATTTGTACAGCCTCCCTTCCATTGAGTTTTTTAATTGTCCATCACTATTCACATCTGGTTATGCCATTCTGGATTAGAGGAGAGTGCTTATTAATTGCTTGTTTGCAGGGAAATGTAAACATTCTTAAAAGAATACAAGAAGTTGAAGCCTTTTGTCTTGCACTTGTAAGAACCAAAAAACAAGAAGCAGACTAGGAAAAAGGAACACTGATCACATGCATTATCTTTTTTCACATCTGTTTCTTACATCCTAGTTCTGATGAGAGTAAGACTAAAACTTTCAACTTCTTGTCTCCTTTTAGAGTGCTGATGGGTTTGCAAATAGACTCTGATAGGTAGACGGGTTGCCATTGGAGAATGCACCATTAAAACTGATTGACAATTAAAATCAAGGCTCTGTGCAGATTTTAAATCAGGATTGATCGGAGAACTGCCCTGAGTAATGGATCAACAAATGGCTGTCACCTATTTTGTTGAGTTGAAACAGGAGCAGTGTACATCCATGTTCTTTCTGTCTGCAAAGAACAGGGCCCTCTGTACTAATGTATGTAGCTTCATTACATTACATGAAAGTGTGAGGATTTGCACTGACAACCAATTTAGGAAGTATCCTATTGTCCAACTGCAGAATCACTGGGTTGTAAGATTTGCAGCCACAGGCTACCTGAGTACGGTCAGCATCTTGCACGTGCAAACAGCCGAAGAGTGTGTTGTTCGACGCGATCCACCTGTTTTTGTGACTCATAGCCAACATACCTGGCATCACATTGGCACAGAAATTCATATACCACATTACTCATTCATATGAAAGGCCAAGAGCGACCATCATTGATGTTGCTGCTGCATAATAGCAGCACTAAACAGAAAGGCTCACCTGTCACTGAAACATTTCAGATACTTCAGATTTCTGGGTTAATCTGAGATCATTTTCAGGATGTAGCATGACTATCATAAGACATTCCATGATTTTGTACAATTTACTACAAGAAATTATCTGGATAATCATTACTCTGCAGATGGCTTTGATGTGCCCTATTTCAACATCAAGTTTGCACGGCTTGGGTTTATTTATGAGTTTGCCAAGAGATCACTTTCATAGCACATGGAACTATAGACAACACCTCTACCACTCAGAGTCAACTTGTCAACCAATCAGCTCTCTCTTTAAATACAGTATAAATGCCGGTTTCCCATTGAATTTGTATCCATGTGAAATGTCTTGTTAAGTGCAACTTAAAAGGCTTTGATAAACTATGTCCTTTTCAGCTGTAATCAAGTTCTGGGCTATGAAATAACTATTTACATTACACCTGTTTACCTATTTATCAGCATCTTGTCGAAATGTTTGTAATCAGCATTATTTTCTCACACCCATATTTAGCTGCATGGACAAGGTCAGAAATCACACGAGACACTAGGCAATACTCCAACAGGTTTATTTGAAAACACAAGCTTTCGGAACGTAGCTCCTTCGTCAGGTGAAGTGAGAAAGAAGCACACAGAATACAGCATTGGACTCAAAACCAAAACACAAATAGATTCTAAACAAGGCTTCATGCCTAAAATGTCATCTATTCTTTATACTGATGAAATCTTTACTGCTCTCAGGGCAGTGACTTGAAAGAAATTCAGGATTTACATTTACATATTAATCAATTAAAACCTTCTAACTGATTAAAGATTTGTCAGCTTCTTAGGTTTGTTTAACACATCCTCATCAGGTATGTGACCCTTTGATCTTTTACTTATAAATTCTGTGTTTTGTGTGCTTCTTTCTCACTTCACCTGACAAAGGGGCTACGAAAGATTGTGTTTTCAAATAAACCTATTGGACTATAACCTGGTGTTGTGTGATTTCTGACTTTGTCTACCCCAATCCAACACTGGCATCTCCACATCATGTCTACCTGGATGGATGTTGCTCAAACAACATACAAGAAGCCACCTTCAATATTCACAGCTACCACCACCACCAACACTTAATAGCAGCAGTGCTCACCATCCCATAAGATGTAGAAACTCAACAAGGCTCCTATGCCTGCACCTCCCAGAACACTGACCTCTACCATTAGAAGGCCAAGAGTAATGGGTATATGGGATCACAGACACCAGCAAGTTCCTCTCCAAGCTGCACTTTATCTCAAATTGGAACAATATCACCATTGCCAGTTCTGAGAAAGGATCATAGAATCTCTACAGTGTGGATGCAGGCCATTCAGCCTGTCGAGTCCAGACTAACCCTCCAAAGAGCATCCCACCCAGACTCACCCCTCTACCCTATCTCTGTAACCCTACATTTCCCATGGCTAACACACCCAGCCTGCACATCCCTGGACACTGGGAAATTTAGAATGGCCAATCCACCTAACCTACACATCTTTGGACTATGGGAGGAAACCAGAGCACCCGAAAGAAACTCACACAGACATGAGGAGAATGTGCAAACTCCATACAGTGGGTGGAATTGAACCCATGTCACTGGTACTGTGAGGCAGCAGTGCGAACAACTGAGCCACCATGTCATCCTCATCAGATCATCAGACTCGAAACATTAACCCGTTTTTCTCCCTTCAGATGTGGTCAGCCCTGAGTTTGTCCAGCAGTTTTTGGCTCATCACTCCTTCACTGTGACTAGGTCAAAATGCTGGAATTTCTTTTCTAACAGTACCTATGCCACGTGGATTGTAATGGTTCGAGAAGGTAACTGACCGTCACTTTCACAGTGGCAGTTCGGCAGGGACAGCAAAAATAAATGAATGATAAACATTAGCCAAGCCAGTAATGATCAGTTTCCAAGGATGAATAAGAAAACAAAGCTGATAGTACAACAACTTGTCAAATTTGAATCGTTTAATTAATCAACCTTTAATACAAATAGAAATATATATCTGATCATTGATTTGAGGGTAAGATTTACTCAGAGATGTGAGCTCCTCTCTGTGGGACATAACAGCTGATGTCTCAGTGCACAGATCTTCAGGCATATAGACAAGATGTCTCATGAGGTTGTGGAATCCAGAGTTCAGAATCTGCTTCCTTTTTCTTTCCCTAACTGCCATCGATCTGCCTCATCATTAAGATGTTGCTGTGACTCAATGTGCGATGCAGCTTTAAATGATCACCCTTTTAAAAGTATGGCAGCAAATTCCTGTCAGTCATTAATGTCAATGCTGCCATGCTTCAAGGAAAGTTTCACTGTGCCTTTGAAGTGGTTTCTTTGCCTTCCCCTGGAATGTTGGCCAAGTGAGTTGAGAAGACAGGACTTGCATGTGCTGACAGGGTAAAAATGATAAGGTATGTACTTGGAAAAAAAAGAGGAAGGAAATACAATCTATTGACTATTAAGTTCAATTCTATACATTGTACAGGATGATAGCTGCACTATTACAATCCCTCTGAAGACAGCTGGTTTTGAAAAGAGATTTGAATATCAAATGATTGACGCAATATTGAATGAATATTCATGTTTTAATAATTTTACTGCAACAAACCGAGATCAACAATCAGCTAAATATTACATAGTAAACAACAAGTACGCTAAATTATCGAAAAGATATGCCCTTAATATCCTAATGTCCAAAAATCCTACACAGTACATTCTCAGTAGCATTGCAGCCTATACAGAAGCCAGTCTGAAGTTCTTTTCAGCTTCACACAGGCTTGCTTCTCCCTGTTTCACTGCATCATAGTATCCAATGTCTATCAAAAGTCAACTTCCTCAGTATTCGGAGAATCGTCAAAGTGACTTCCAACAGCAAAGTGCACTCCAGTGACTCTTTCTCATGACCAGGATGTGAATCTTCTAGTGTCCTTACATTTGCACAGGTTCTATATCTTCAACCAGAGGAGTTGTTCCAATCTGCATTCTATGTGGTAGCTAACAGAGAAACCTTTTCCCACTACTATTCACAATTGCTTTTTCCCTATCTCTTTGAGATTCTCTGTCTCTCTAAATCCAGGATCTCAGTACGTTTGTATAAAGCCAGGAGAGTTAATTGGGGAAATCTGGTACTTGGTTTTCAGTGGAGCATAATCTAAATGAATGAATGATTTTATTTTCACATATATCTAGGAAGATACAGTGAAAGTGTTTTGCTCCTACAATCCAGCGCCATTTTGTGTAACAAAAAGAATAAAAAGAAATCACTTAAATCTGAGTTCATCTTCTGTTCAAATTGGGTCTCAAGCATGCCCCCAGGGCTTTTGCAAGGTCTCTGCAAGGTGTTCTGGGCCTCAAGGAGACCCCACTCCAGGAATAGCAACAGCGTCGTCAATGATCCGAGAGACCCCAGCTCCGCTGCTGCTGTTGCCTCGCCAACACCACCAAGAGTCCCCACTCCAGGCCTATCGCTGCCAGGAGTCCAAGCTCCAAGTACTGCCACCAAGAGTCCAGGCTCCGGGCCTACTGCTGCCAGGGTCCCAATCAATGTCTCCAATACTGCAGCCCCTGCCCCGCTGACACTGCTCTGGCCTCGAAGATGAAGAAAGAAAAGGAAAAGAAAAAAAGACAAAAAGGAGAGAGAGAAAAGGATGCTGCCTGCCTGGAGTGGATGGACTCAGGATCCCAACACTACCTACCCGCGCTGGTGCCACCATCTTGATCTGGGCCCATTCCCACAGTAACCAGGTCATATAGGTCTATTATTGAGAAGAACTAGTGCCTTCAAGTAAAACAGACAGTTTAAAACATAACCACCTTCTAAAACATTGCACATGTGCACTTGTAAGGAGATATTCACTGTTGTATTCTCATGTCATAAAAATGGTAAACCCAACAGGGAGTTCTTAGTGGTATCATGGTCAGTTATTATCTCAAAGCCACCAAAATAGATTAACTAAAAAAAAGAACTGCAGATGCTGGAAATCAGAAATAAAATAGAAATTGCTGGAAAGCTCAGCATGCCTATCAGCATCTTTGGAGAGGAAGCAGACTTAATGTTTTGTGTCCAGTGACTGGACAACAGGTTAACTGATTGTTTATCACATTGCTGTTTGTGGGACATTGCCTGACACAAATTAGATGTCATGATATCTGCCTTGAACCAGTGATTATATAAAATACTTAATAGGCTGTAAAGTGCTTTGGAACATCCTGAGCTCATCAAAATTGCTATACAAATGCAAGTCTTTCTTTTTTTTTACTACCTTTCAAGATAGTGGAGCCCACTATGGAAAGTTTTTTTTGCTGTCTGTCCTGTTTTGGTTGAATAGCACATCACTTAATGATTCCTTGCATTGAGTTGCAACTGCATTACACCTACTTCATATTTTATTTGGATCTTGCAAAAGCACCTGGAACAGGAATTACATTTCAGAACAGTTCACAGTCAAATATTCAATCAAACAAGACTTACTGAAGTAAATACTTGACAGATTCCAGTTACCTTATAAACTCATGTTTTCAAAGTTCAGGTTGTTGCTGGGTTTGGACATCCCTGTTTCAATTAATTGATCCTCCAAAACACAAATTTCTAAATTAATTTTACAAATGCCCAGCCAGCAACGCCTACACCTGTTGAAAAAATCTTTAAAACTGCTGCTCTTCTTTCTGCAAACAATAGTTCATTCAAGGGGAAGAAATAACGTCCTGATATTAACATGAGACTTTTAATCCAGCGACCCAGGTAACGTTCCAGTGACCCTGGTTCGAATCCTGCCATGACAGGTCGTAGAATTTGAGTTCAACAGCAATCCGAAATTAAGCGTCTAAAGATGATTTTAGGGAAAAACCCATCTGGTTCACTCATATCCTTCAGGGAAGGAAACTGCCATCCTTACCTAGTCTGCCCTATGTGTGACTCCAGACCCACTGTAATGTTGTCTAGTCTTCACTGCCCTCTGGGCAATTAGGCGGGGTGATAAATGCCAGGCTAGCTAGAGACACCAACATAGAAAATAGAACTGTACAGCACAGGAATGGGCCCTTCGGCCCACAATATTGTGCCGAACATGACACCAAATTAAACTAATCCCTTCTGCCTAGCCTTGACCCATATCCCTCCATCCCTTGCATATTCATGTGTTTATCTAAAAGCATCCTAAATGTCCTTATTGTAATTGCCTCTACAACCACCCCTGGCAGTGCACTGCACATGCTCGGAAAAATTCTAAAAATAAATTCAAAGGGTCAGTCAATGCTACAGGTTAGCATCATAATTCAGCAGCAAGTCTTAAAAATATTTGCAAACTTCTTTTAAAAAAATTTGTACGTAATTAACTACTTTGTAGTCTTTTTTTAAGAATTCACCCCTGGGATATGGGAGTCACAGCATTTAATGCTCATGCTGTGATATGCTGAGAAGGTGGTGATTCCTTTCAAGACACTGTCAGACGTGGTGAAAGTGTTCTGAGGTCGGTAGTGAGGGAGGCTGAAATCTTAACCTAGCCAAAAAGAAGATGATTGTGGTTATTGAATGTGAGTCATCTCAGCTCCAGGATATCTCCACAGGAGTTCCTCACAGGACTGTCCTAAACCCACCCATCTTCTGCTGTTTCATTAATGAGCGCCCTTCCATTGTGATCTCAGATAACCACCAGAATAACCACTGTTCTTCAGATAAGGAGGCCAAGCCTGCACACAATACTCCAGGTGTAGTCTTACCAAGGCCCTGTCCGATTGCAGCAAGGCAGCCCTGCCCCTGTATTCAAATCCTCTCACTATGAAGGCCAATGTACCATTTTCTTCTTCACTGCCTCTTGTACCTGCATACTTAGTTTTAGGGATCTGTGTACAAGGATACCTAGGTCTCATTGCACCTCACTCTATCCCAATCTATCACCATTCAGAGAATAATCTGCCTTCCTGTTTTTGCTACCAGATTACAAATTATGCTCATTTGTCCAAATTATAATGAAGTATCTCTGCATCCTCCTCACAGTTCACCCTCCCATGGAGCTTTGTGTGTCTGAAAACTTGGAAAAATTACATTTAATTCCCCCATGAAAATGATTAATTTGTGATTAGCTGAGGTCCATGCACTGATCCCTGTGGTACCGCACTAAGCACTGGCTGAACTCAGAAAAAGACCCATTTATTCCTACCCTTTGTTTCTTGTCTGCAACCAGTTCTGATGAAGAGTCATCGAGACTCGAAACGTTAGCTTGCTTTCTCTCCATGGATGCTGCCTGAATGACTGTGATCTCCAGCATTTGTTATTTTCAGTACAGATTTCAGCATCTGCAGTAATTTGCTCCTACGGTGGATAAGGGTAATGCTGTGGATATTGTATATCTGGACTTTCGGAAAACATTTCATCCAGGTGTCACATGGCAGGTTGGCTAGCAAATTAGAAATGTTTGGGAATGATGGGTCCTTCGCAGCACGGATTAGAAGTTGAGGGTAGGTATAGATGGACTTTTCTCAGATTGGATATGAGTTGAAAATGATGTTTCCCAGGGATCATTATTGAGACCCTTGCTTTTTTTTGATTTACATAAAATGATTTGGAGATGGGTGTTGAGGGCTAAATCGCTTAATGTGCAGATGATCTTAGGCTAGGGAGAGTAGTGAATTATGGTTGGTGTTGAGCGACTTCAGAAGACATTGACAATTTTCCAAATGGGCAGAAACCTGGCAGATAAGATTCAATTTAGAGAAATGTGAGGTATTGCAATTTGGTAGAAGAACTGCCCTGCAATAACTGAGGCACAACAGGCTCAATGGTGAAGTTTGAGGGGAGTACAAGAGCAGAGGGACCTTAGGGTTTAAGTGCATAATTCTCTGAAGGTGGCCAGGCAAGTTGAAGCAGTTATAGGCAGACTTATAGGAATCCTTAGGTTTATAAATAGAATCATAGGGTATAAAAGCAAAGAAGTGATGCTCCGCCTCTACAAATCATTGGTCTGACCACATTTGGAGTATTGTGTTGGGTTCTGGTTACCTTATTTAAAGAAGGATGTCAAAAGCCTGGAGAGAGTTCAAAGGAGATTAACCAGAAAGATACCATGAAAAAGAAGTTTTAAATGCAAAGAAAGATTCAAGAAATTGGGCTTTTTCTCCTTGGAGCAGAGAAAATTAAGAGGTGACTTTACTGTGGTGTTCAAAATTATGAATGATTTTAACAGGGTAACGAAGGATATTTTGTCTCCAGCAGTTGGTATGTCTGTAACTAGGAGTCATAATTTCAAGATTGTCAGTAAGAGAGCTAGGAATGAGATGAGGAGAAGCTCTTTACTCAGAGGGTTGTTAAAATGTCAAATGCTCTACCTGAGAAAATGGGGGAGGCAGATTCCATAGGAGGTTTGAAAAGTGAGCTGGATAGATATTTGAAAG